TCTCCCTCCCTCTCCCTCCCTCTCCCTCCCTTCCATCAGTCCCAGGCGCTCCCTCTTGGCCTTAAGTGGTCCACCACGCCACGCCACGCGTCGAAACGATTCATTACCCCGTGATTAGACAGGAAGGTGTGTGGGAGGACGACGCCCTTGCCGAGGCCGAGCGTGTAGTAGCGCTCGCCCCGTTTTCCCGCTCACCGCGGACCGTAGACGAGACGACAGCTGCAGTCAGCTGTGCGGGGAAGCTCAGGCCGGGCACCGTGAGCGAGCGGGTGCATGGGGAGAGGGGAGGGGAATCTCAGTTTTTCGCAATGTTTGCTTATTATTTATTTATCTTTTGCGGTATGTTGCAGCGACCGCTGGGCTTCCGGTGCCTGAAGCCGCGCACCCGTTGGCGCAGCGCGACGCGCCAGGTGCTCGCCAACCTGTCGTGGCTCGCCGTGGACGAGGACGACCTCCCCGCCGGCACCGTCAACCTGGTGGCGCTGCTCACCATGCGCCGCAAGCGCGCCGGCGACCTGTCCATCTGCGTGCGTCCTCGACGGCGACCTCGACGGGGTCCTCGCCGCTGCGGTTGTTCTCCCTCTACAAAACGACAGCGTGACCGGCATCCTTTCCGCTCACAGGAGAAGGCGCTGCTTCGCCGTCCCCACGATGAGCGGACGCCCGAAGAGAAGGAGATCCTCGCGAGCCTGTTCAGCGGCCTGCGCTGCTTCCGGCGTTACCCGGAGGTGAGGGGGCGAGCCTCGCCTCGCCGCGCACATGGCAGGCCAGAGTATAACAAGCGTTAACAACGTGTGGACGGGCCGGGACGGGCTGGCGGCGAAACTCTGCCCATTACGGCAGAGGATAACGCCACCGCAGGCCAGTTGACGTCTCGTCCCCTGCGACCACTACATCACTCTCGCGGTTTTCTCCGCTGACCCCCTTCCCCCTACCCATGATCCACACCCCGCTCCTCCATCTGGCCCTTTCACGCCGGGCTCCATCAGCCCCATACTCCCCCTCCCCTTCCCTCCCTTTCTTCCCCCGACAAAGACGTCTGCCACACAAGCAGCAGGGGGGCTGCCACGCGCTGACCCATTTCATCCGTCTTATCGGTGCTGTCCAAAGTTTCTGGGTTGTCCTCCCGAGTATATCAAGGACAGGCACGCCCTCGCTCGCCTCGCGGCCCCAGCGCGTCGCTGAGCTCCCCCGCGTCGTGCGTAGCGCCGGCTCGCGGCTATACTCCCCGCGGGGCGGCAGCCGGGAGCCTACTACCCCGCACCCGTCTTCTCAGTTTCACTCAGGGGGTCCTCACCTCACCCACGTTTTCAGAAAACCACTGTTCAAGCAAAAACAAAAATAAGTACAAAAAAAGTACAATTATTGAATACATGTATTCAATTGACAGCGAGGGGTTCACAACTCGGTTATTTCCGGATACATCCTGACCTATGAATGAATATATTTAAAAGCTGAATACACTGATAAATTAAGTGTGCAACTGGCGTGCAAATGCAAGTGCTCGACACCAACACTACATTGCACACCTTTAAGTGACTAATTATTTGAATACTAAAAAGTGGAAAGCTCACGAATACAAAATGAAAAATCGGGAAAAGATATTGAATGTTGACTAAAAAGTATTGAAGACAAAACTTTTGTTAGACCCGTGCACGTCTGTAGTTGTGGGCCCCTCCCTTGCCAGTACCCGTAATTCCCGGGCTAAGTGGCCACCACCTCCTCCTCCGCCCGCAGCACGTGCGCCGGCTCATGGCGGGCTTCGTGTCCTTCGAGTGCTACGGCGCCGGACGCACCGTGACGCGCGTGGGCCACAAGTGCATGGGCATGTACTTCGTGCTGAGCGGCTCGCTGGAGGAGTGGCGCGAGGTGCAGGACCCGCTGGCCGGCCCCACGCTCAAGCTGCACGCCACCCTGGGCCCCGGCGACGCCCTGGGCGAGGTGTCCCTGCTCCACGACACGGACCGCTCCTCCACCACCGTCACCACGTGTTAGTGTCCGGCCAGGTCAGTCAGGACACCATATGGGGGTCGTCGGGCACCTCATTCCTTCACCGATCGTCGCGTCGAGGGCACTGGGTTACCGTACCCTACTCCCTTCTCTTCACACTCAAGTGTTCTTCTGGGGGATTGGAGATTTGCTCAAGTGGTCGGAGGCGGGAGGGTATAGGAATACGGTAGTGGCTCTTCCGCATTTGTATGGAAGCGCCTTCGTCGAAGGATTTGTACTGCGCGGCTCAAATAAGGCGTGGAGGATCCACTGCTGCGATACCAGTCCCCGTCACGGAGTGGGTCGGTTTGGGGGCTGCTCGCAGTCATCCTCTTTCGGACACCCCCGTTACATGTTGTTTTCCGGGGACATGCGTGGTGGCTGGGTCGGCGTCGGATGCGACTCCACATCAGCTTGTCATATCCCATGTTCCACATGCTCGCTGGCGTGAAGGAGGCGCCGCCCCGCACGGCCAAGGCCAGGCCTTCGGGGGGGGGG